ATCTGTTTGAGCAGCTGGCTTAAGAACAGATAAGGATATGGGGAAGTGCTGGGCATAGTTTTGGCTTATAGACTTTGTGGGGAGCCAGGGAAGTTCTAGGTCTCATGGGAGAGGCAGGCTCTGAGCAGGAGTGCTCTCAGGCCCACCAAGTTTTGGAACCCTGTTAATAAAAACCTGTTTCCTGCAACATTAATTGTTGGGCCATGTGTCAGGGAGTCACATGGGTGAGCCCTGGTTTACTCAGTTACATTACTACTAAAAATATAATGAAGCAACTTCCGGTCAAGAAGGCGGTGTAGGCAGACATGGCTCACCTCTTTGCACAACCACATCAAAATTACAACTAAAATAGGGTGGGTGGGCTGGGATGGGAATAAAGGACAGAAAACTGTACTAGAACTATGATTAAAATAAAATTTAAAAAATTATAACTAAAATATAGAAAAACCATCACTCAGGAATGTCAGATATCAAGCTGAATGGAAGTCTGTATGAAATTAAAGAAATTACATCCTTCCAGACTGGTAGGAGGGGCACAGACATGGAACAGGCTGGCCCGACACCCTTGTGGACAAAAATTCAGGAGGGATATCTTGCAAGCATAGAGTCCCAGGCCACACCAGGCCCTCCAGCCCAGGATTCCTGCACCAGGAAGATAAGTTCTCACAACTTCTGGCTTCAAAACCCAGCAGGGATTGTCTGTGGAAGAAACTTATTGAGCTCCAAGCAGTTCCTTTTAAAGAACCCACACACTGACTCACCTACTCAGACTCACTCCCTCTGAGCTCCAGCACCCAGGTAGCAGCTTGAATGGCACAGCTTCAGTGGTATACAGGGAGAAACAGTTGTCTCCCATTAAGGTGAGTAAAGGCCGTTGTCCCTTTTCTAAACCCTCCCCCTACAAAGCTGGTAAGCTGGTGCCACATCTGAGACTTCATGAATCTGCCTAACACTGTTTGACCCACCTTGGAGATCCACAGAGGCTCTGCCCCACCCAACTTAACAGGTGCCCAAGCTGCTTTTCCATAGAATGTCTGGTCTTGGCTCCTAAATCCTATCAAACAACAAGAGCTGGCTTCACTGAGCCCTAGTGGCAGCCAAATTAGTCACAGCTTGTCTTCACTTGGGACTCTCCAAGCCCAGCACAAGTAGCAGCCATCAGATTGCTTTGCAGCTCAGGCAGGGTGCCCCAGAAAAACAAAGGTGGGGGCTGACTTTGGCCTGCACCACCCACAGGAAACCCCAGGGCCAGTGTACCCAGTGGACAGCTACAGACCATTTCAGAGCATCACCACCCTGCCCCTGCACAGCTGATCCTCCATGGAGGGTAGAAGTTGGTGCTAAGTGGTCATAGCCAATCTTTGCTGCTGACTGGCCTGGGGAAATCCCTCCCACTGATCTGTCAACAGCAATCAAGGTGCCACTACAAGAGGAGGGTATACTCAGCCCACACAAAGGGCATACCTAGAGTACCCAGCTTGGGTAATAGGGGAGGCTGTGCCATTGGACCCTACAGGACACCTACTACATTAGGACACACTACCAAGACATGGAGCCAAAGCAGCTCTACCTAATACATAGAAATAAACACAGGGAGGCTGCCAAATTGAGGAGACAAAGAAGCATGACCCAAATGAAAGAACAGATCAAAACTCCAGAAAAAGAGCTAAATGAAATAGAGATAAGCAATCTATCAGATGCAGAGTTCAAATCACTGGTTATAAGGATGCTCAAGGAACTTAGAGAGGACCTCAGCAGCATAAAAAAGATCCAGTCAGAAATGAAGGATACACTAATTGAAATAAAGAACAATTTTCAGGGAAACAACAGTGGAATGAATGAAGCCAAGAATCAAATCAGTGATTTGGAACATAAGGAAGCAAAAAACAACCAACCAGAAAAGAAAGAAGAAAAAAGAATAAAAAAAAATGAGGATAGTATAAGTAGCCTCTAGGACAACTTTAAGAGTTCCAATATTCACATCATAGGGGTGCCAGAAGGAGAAGAGAAAGAGCAAGAGATTGGAAATCTATCTGAAAAAAGAGTGAAAGAAAACTTCCCTAATTCGGTGAAGGAAATGCAAGTTTAGGAAGCATAGAGAGTCCCAATTATGATGGATGCAAGGAGACCCATTCCAAGGCACTTCATAATTGAAAGACCAAAGGTTAAAGATAAAGACTCTTAAAAGCAACAAAAGAAGTTGATTACTGGAAGGTTGCCAGATGGGAGGGGGGTTGGGGAGAATGGGTGAAGATGTGATGGGATTAAGAAGTACAAATAGGTAGTTACAGAACAGCCATGGGGATGTAAAGTAGAATAAAGGAAATGGAGTAGCTAAAGAACTTATAGGCATGACCCCTGGACATGAACAATGGTGAGGGGATTGCTTGAGGGGTTGCTTGGTGGAGGAGGGCAAAGGGGGAAACACCAGGACAACTGTAATAACATAATCAAGGAAATATAATTAAAAAAACATAATGAACTAATGAGATGCTTATATCTATGTATAACTAATTAGTTTGAATTTGATAAGAGTAATAATGTTATAGAGCAGACCAGGGCTCATTCACGTGTCACTTGGTGTAAGACCCAACAATTAATGTTGGAAGGAGCAAATCTTTATTTATAATATTCCAACCCTAGGGGACCCTGGAGCACTCATGCTCTGAGTCCAGTTTTCCCACCAAACTCAGCACTTCTCATGTTCCCCACCAGACTATGAGCCAGAAACATCCCTGAAATTTTCTCGTGTTCTTATCTTAAGCCAGATGCACATACAGTTCTCCAGTCCCTGTGGAAGGTACCAAAGTCACCATCCTCACACAGAAGCTCCCTCGTTCAGCATCTGTGATACATGTTCATCAGCCTCCATTTTAATAGTCCAAAAAGCATGGCCCATGTTACCCTGGATCATGGTGAAACTCAGAAAAGGCACAGGTCTTAAAAGTCCAGGGAAAATCCAGGTGCAGCCAGTCAGGATCTATCAAGGAAGTCCTTTGCAGCTCTAGAGTCAGCCAGAACATTTACTTCTCCATTCTCACTGCTCTCTTTCAAAATGTATGGCAAAAATCCATCACTACTGATAGCATGTCTCTTCCCTCTCTACTACTCCCTGCATGGCCTTCTCCTTGCCAAGTTGCATGGTCAGAGCTCCACATGGCTGCTACATCCCACTTTTCTTCTTTTTAAGCCATGTGGTAGACAGCGAGAAAATTGCTCCTGTGCCTAGTTTAATTCCCAGTGCCACCTCTGCAACCACATTTCTGACTCCTCCCACAATCAACTGCATCTGCCTGTTCTCTGGTATCTTCTGCCTCTCTCTGGCAACCACTGTTAGTCCAGACAGGTGTGGTCCTTAACTAGGAGAAAGTGCCTTCCTGCTCTCATGGAGATGCAGTAACTGGGTAACCACCTACAGGCTACATCACAGGTAAAGTCACACCCCCATCTCCCTGGCCTATAGTGGGCTGCCACAGCTATTTAGAATGATTATAACACTGGGCAGCTGTTATTGATATGCAAAGTATCTCTCAACCTGGTCTGTGGTCTGTCCGCTTCCCCATCCCCTAAGGGATGGCTGTGGGGTTTTATTCCTATATTCTCGGGCACCCCAAGTTCTGGGCCTTGTTCCACACCCGTTACAATAAGAAGTGAAGCCATTCTACTTAAATGACAGCAGAGATATGGTGGACACTAGAATAAAACCTGGTGTTAAGTAACTATAGAGAAGACATTTGCATAAACAAAATCGGGAGGTAACCTTAATTTAAGTAAGAATAACATGAAAAGTACTAAATAGAGAAAATGAAGGTATATGTTGTTGTTGAAAATTAGCTGTGTTTTTTCAAGGAAAATGTTAATTTTCTATGTTGTGTAATGGGGTGGGATTGTGAGAGGGTCTCAGACATCATACACTCATCTAGTTATCTCACCACATGTTGGAGCAAACATTTAGATTCCCAGAACTTTGAGATCTTGGAGATCCTGTCTTTCAAGGGTGATGGGAAATAAAGATTTGAAAGAAAAAAAGCAGTATTTAAGAAGCTACAGGAAAACTCTGTGGCTGACTTTGGGGGACGGTATCAGATAAAGCTGAAAGCCAATAGAATATCTCCAAATAAATAATTTCAAGAGGTTTTTTTTCACAACACATACTTCATATCATTGCCCTGCAACATGTAAAAAATTTATATGAAATGACAAAATATTTTAAAAATACCTTTATTTATGAAATTCATTGATACCTCTACATTTCATTTGCCTCAACTAATTTAATAATGCATGGTTTAAAGTCTATTAAGAGGAATCTCAAATGTGCCTATGCACTTTTGCATTTGGTCTCATTGTTTTTGCAGTATCACTGAAATGAACTACTGAAAAGAAACCCTTTTCAACTAAACACTTAGTTGAAAATGTTGTAATTTAGCTCTTCCCACAAGTGGGCATGAAAAGCCTGAGTTCCAAACGTTCCCTAATTAGACTGATTAAACTGTATTGTTTTCAAAGTCATCAATTAATTTTCTAAAAATACTTTATTTACTTTTAGAGAAAGGGAGGGAAAGAAACATCAATGTGTGGTTGCCTCTTGCACGCCCCCCAACTGGGAACCCGGCCTGCAACCCAGGCATGTGCCCGCACCCGAATTGAACCTACAAGCCTCTGGTTTGCAGGCTGGTGCTCAATCAACTGAGCTACACCAGCCACAGCCATTAATTCTTAACTCTACCTGCTAGTGTTTCATTGGTTTCGAATGTATTAACCTCCCAGTATTGTAATTCAATCCTATCTTTAAACCTAATCAACTAATTAATTACATCAAATGAAAGCAAAATTTCAATCCATTGCTTCTAAATTGACGTTTCCTTCAGGGAAGAGTAGGGAGAATCCCCTGGGGCAGGCGCCTCTTGCTTTTGACAGCCCCTAGAGGCTCCGCCCCTCACATGCTCCACGCCCCTTTTCAGTATACTTCAGCCTCTGGGCGGGCTTTTGACGTCGAGCGGAAGTGACGTATTGGCCGCCGGAGGTGTCGTTGGTCTGTTGCGCGGCTAGACCTGAGTGGACTGGGGCCTGCACCCGGGAATATAGCGCAATGTCGATCGAAATCGAATCCTCGGAGTGAGTCCTGCGGTGATGGATGGTCGGGAAGTGGCGGGGGCCGGGACTTGAAGGGTGCAGAGTGGAAGGTCCTCAGCGGGAGGCGTCCAAGAGGCTCGGGAATGGAGGAGAATTTCCTTGCCCACAAATAAGCTTCTTGGGTCTGGCTACCTCGGAGGCGGGCCCACGAGGAAGTAGCGGACGAGAACCCCAAAGCCCCGAGGGAGGCGGCGCGGGGCCGGGCGACGGATACTCCTTGAAGATCCTAGTTGTAGCCATCGCGGACTCCTGGTGGCGCTCTCTGTGACTGATCAGATTACCCTTCCGTTCTGGGCTCCAATCTGATTATCTGCGCAAGGGGGTTTGGACTCAGCCTTCCTGCTCTCCCAGCCCCCGTTAAATAAGTGTGATTCGTTTCCTATGTGCTTACGTGGCCCCTTTGCTTTCCTCTGCACACCATTTAACCCAGTACTGTCACTTTTTTTCTGTCCACCTCACGAGCCTGCGTTGGCGCTTAGAGGCTCTTTTTTCTTATAGTTCCAGTGCCTAGCACACCGTAGAGGCTCAATCACCGCCTTTGTAATGAATGAACAGCTAGCTATTCTATCAGACTCTTTGTGACGCTGAATTTTGGTTCGTCTGTGAGTTCTGTGTAGCTACAAAGGAGAAACAGTCTGGAGGTCGGGCCAGAAGAATGATGGATTGGGGCGGGGAGCGAGGATTAATGACTAAAGGAAGTCTTTAGTGAAGTTTTCCAGGGCATCATCTTCCACCTTGCTAACACTTAATAATTAAGTCATCAGACATATAACATTTGTGTCTTTAGTGTAAGTAAGGGAGAGGACTTCTTCTAAAAACCTGCCATAGGATGAAAGGAGGTTTATTCATTCACCAAATACTGAAGTCTACTGTGTATAGTTCTAGACCCCGGGGAATACAGTAATGAACAAAACAGACAAAAATCCTTGACCTTAAGGATGTACATAGTGATTGGTGAAGGCAAACAACATACAAAAACAATAAGTAAAATATGTGGTTTAACAGATGATGATAAGTATTGTGGAGAAAAATAAAGCAAAGAAGAGTGATAAAGAATGCTGGAGTTAAGACAACTAAGTCAAGGGCAGGAGTTGGAAAGGATTCCATGCTTTTGGACTTGAGTAAGAGTGGACACCAACCATTCTTCCAGTCTTGGGCTGCTGTACGTTTTTATTATCAATAGTAGCCACTATTTATTAAGCATTTTCTGTGCTAGTCATGCTATAAGCAGTATAGTCAACCCTTTCACCAAGCCTACAGGGTAGGTATTTTTCTTAGCAGATGAGGAAACAGGTACACAGATAACTGACTTGCCTAAACTCACAATTAGTAAGTGGCAATACTCTGATTCAAATCCCAGCTGATCTCCAGAGTTTTAAACTGTATGTATTACATTGTGTTTAAAGGAAGTAAATTTGATTTTGGTTATGCCAAATAAGAGGTCTTTTCAAGGAGCTTGTCTTATTTTGGGAGTGCAAATGGAAGTGTGTTAAGGACGATAGTAGGTACTAGAAGGGATAGTAGAGATCTAAACCTTATTGTATCTTAAAGGAGCCATGAGAAAAAAGACTACAGTAAATAGCAGTGATCAGTTTCCTTCTACAGGGATTTTTAACACGAGAGTGCTTGCTTTCCTGTGAGGGATGTATGCTCAAGAGCCACAGTGCCAGTTTGAATCTTCATTTTCCCACTTAACCCTTTGTTACTTGGTGAGATCTTCATCTGTAAAATGGACATAATAGTAATAACCTACCTTATAGGATTGTTTTGAGGAGTACTTAGGTATACTGTACATAATAAACATTGATTATTATTTTATGACTTATTTCTCCCCAGAGTAAACTGACTAAATTCCATTCTGAAATCCCTTCCCTATGACAGTCTGACCCTCTGTACCAGTGCTGTTTAGTAGAAATATAGTGTGAGCCACATATAGGGAAAGAGAAGGAAAACATACAGTGAGCTTTTACAGTATATAAGAACAGATTCTTTACTAGACTCACTAAGTGCAAGATCAAGATGTTTTACCTATAAACATATTTAAATATAAATACAAGTTTTCTGTCACGTGTTGAAATGGTTGCTTATTCTCTTAATATTTGGCGATTATCTGGCTTCTTCTTTGGGAAACTGAAGGCAGTAGGTCGGTGTTATTTTTGCAAATGAGGACACATGGCTTTGCTTTACTTTTACATACAGTATCGCTGTACTTATTTGTGTTCAACAAATCCCTATTAAGAAAATCTCAATTTACATTTTTGATTGTCATTTTAAAAAGGAACCAAATCATCCTACAAGCATTTAGAGTGTTTGTTGAACACTAGTCAGTGACTACACTAGGTTTAAATAGTTCACTAAAGTGTGTAAGAATATAATTATACAAATTAGTAAGAAACTTAGCATAGTAAAAAGATCTCTGGCCTGGTAGTGAGAGGGTCACTTTGGTACCAACTCCCTTTTTAGCTGACTGTGAGACATTGGGCGAATTATTTCCCCTCTCTGAACCTTAGTTCTATTTCTGAGATGGAGGTAGGAGTAGATGATCCCCGAAGTCTCCTGTAACTTAGATTCTGTGATTTTTGAAAAGTTTTTCTTAGATGGTAGAGAAATGGAAAGTAGGTAGTGAGAGGAAGATGACTGAGAAGGAGAAATAAACTGGCACGGGCTTCATTTTGTGGTCTCTCTGGTGAGTGAGGATCCCTGAACTGGATGGCATGCTTTCTTTTTTCAGTGTGATCCGTCTGATCATGCAGTACCTGAAGGAGAACAGTTTACACCGGGCGTTAGCCACCTTACAGGAGGAGACTACTGTGTCTCTGAACACCGTGGACAGCATCGAGAGTTTTGTGGCTGACATTAATAGTGGCCACTGGGACACTGTTTTACAGGCTATACAGTCTCTGAAATTGCCTGACAAAACCCTCATTGACCTCTATGAACAGGTAAGTGTGGAGGTGATTCCCGTGGGTTGGTTTATTGTGGGCCCCCTGGCTGGGAAGCATTAGTGCACATTTCTTCAAGCACTATAGGGCTGTCATAGCCCTTAAAACTTACACTGTCAAGGCTTGAGTGCTACTTTGTATTTTTTTCCCTCTCTTCTTGGAAGAGCCAAGGTTTTCCCAAATTGAAAGTATTTCTTAATTGATCATTCAGTGAACTGTTCTGACACCACCTATTCTGACACCAACTAGTGTACCGCAATTCAGTTCTGGCAATAACCACCCAAAGTTAGTACAGACCCCACAAGTTGAGGGGTCAGTTCTCCATAAGCTTGCCCATACTTCATATACCAGTTGTACTTTGGAGTCTCGGGCCTCCCACAGTTCTGACCAAGTGGCTACAATTTGGGGGGTCCCCATGACCCCCTTTGGAATTGATAATTTACTAGAATGACTCACATAACTATGAAAGCATTATATTTATGATTGCAGTTTTATTATCAAGGATACAGGCTAGAACGAGATAAAAGAAGAGACACATAGGGTGAGGTCTTGGGAGGATCCCGAACACAGAGCTTCCAGTGCTCTCCCTCCATGGATTCAGTGTCTCCTTCACCTGTCATAGTAATGTGTTCACCAACCAGGAAGCTCCACTGGGGGTTTTATTGGGGTTTCATTCAATCTTCTGCTCCCTGGAGGTTGGGCTAGCTCAAAGCCTCGACTCGACAATCACATGGTTGGTCTTTCTGGTCACCAGCCCCCATCCTGCGCTATCTTTTAGCACAGACTCAAGAGTGTTGCAGGGGGCTCATTAATAGCAAAGATACTCCTATCACTGGTGAAATTTCAGGGGTTTTAGGTGTGCTGTGCCAGGAACAAACATCATACAAGAGAACAGAGTGGAGTTTCTTTATATAAGAATGTAGTCTTGTTTGTAAAAATAGCGTAGTTGGTTTGTTTCTCTATAATCCGCATGAGTTCAGTAATTCCCCAAAGAAAATTTTGATACTTGGAGAAAGATTTGTATGGAGACCATGGAGATATTAACATCTTTAGTTTTGGTCAGCATCCATGTTCTGAAAAAGTGGCTTGAGAGGAGAGGGGTTTGGTAGATAAAAATGGAGGGTGGGAGTTGAAATATTGAAGTTATTATTTATAATTACTTCATTCGTCCACCTGAAAATGAGAAGGCATTTCCCAATATAGGAAATTACTTTGACAGGCCATTTCTGCACAAGAAATTGTACTAAAAAAGAAGTTTTACAAAGAGAATGCTTTGAAATAGCCATCTTCTTTCACTTTCCAGGTGGTTCTGGAATTGATAGAACTCCGAGAATTGGGGGCGGCCAGATCACTTCTGAGACAGACCGACCCTATGATCATGTTAAAGCAGACGCAGCCAGAGCGGTATATTCATCTGGAGAACCTCTTAGCCAGGTCTTATTTTGACCCTCGTGAGGTATGACTATGGTGACAAAAAGAAACTTGTTAATTTTGAAAAACTTATAATAATGCAACCTTTTTAAAGCATTTAATTGGATACTTTTGTGACTTTAATTTTTTAGGGTGACTTTTATATATGTTGTTTGAAATTTGCATATGTTAGAGATTAATCTCGTTCAGTTTTCTGAGTATTGGAGGGTCTTCCCTTCCTCATATACCCGTTTTGCAGAGGCTTGTATGTTAATCAGTAAAGAAGCAGAAAGTGTATTCTGGTATCCTTCCTTCCTTATTCCAGGCACGTGCCTGGCCTGTGAGTGCTACCTGACTTCCCGTATATTCACTGTGCATTTGTGTCCCTTGCCACTGACGATTACAGTTTCCTTCCAGCTCTTTCTTTCATTTCTTAGACACTAGTGCTTTAAAATTTTTTTTAAAATTTATTTTTAAATATTTTATTTACTTATTTTTAGAAGGAGGAGAAAGGAGGGAGAGAGAGAGGGAGAGAAACACCTATTGGTTGCCTCTCACATGCCCCCCTGCTGGGAACCTGGCCCCATAACCCAGGCATGTGCCCTGTGTGGGAATCAAACCAGTACACCTTCGGTCCACAGACCAGTGGTCAGTCCACTGAGCCACAGCAGCCAGGGCAAAGCTCAAGTTTATACTTCTCAGCTGATTATGCTTACTGGTAAAGCATGGTGACTGGTACTTTTATTCTTTCAAAACCATTTTTTGAGTATACTTTCATTCTTTTTTACTAAGCCTTTTACTAGTCTAATTGGGAGGAAGAATAATTTAATAGACATTGGATAATAGAAAGTTAGGGTAAGCTCACAGAAACCATGAGGATACAGGATTACCAAGACAAAGATTTAAGTTATAGGTAGTGAAGAGCCTCTGGGCTGGGGTCATTTGACTGAAAGAAATTACTGAAGAATATAAAAGAATCCTTGGCTCTGCAGATTTTTCAAAACCTGTAAAAACAACCCTGGCTTTGGTGTGGTTTACATGGACTCTTCAGAAATAACAGTGTGGATTGGCTGGCATCAGTTTTCTCCCAGCTCATACTTTTGAAATACAAGTGGGAAGAAATGGAAAGTCATTAAAAACAAACTAATTAATTTAATTAATCCCCTGTTTAACTGGGAAGCTTCTTTCCATGTTTTCCTTTTTGAGTATTTCTGCTTTATGATTGTGGTTTTTTTTTTAAATTAAGCAGACTCAGATCTTCTAGCCATTTCTTGGTAATGATGCTAATCCCTCTCCTTTTTTCAGGCATACCCAGATGGAAGTAGCAAAGAGAAGAGAAGAGCAGCAATTGCCCAGGCCTTAGCTGGGGAAGTCAGCGTGGTGCCTCCATCTCGTCTCATGGCATTGTTGGGACAGGTAATTAAAGGCTGTGGAACTGAAATTACGCTGTATATAAACTAGATGTGTGAGCTAAAGATATCAAACATCCTAAGTATTGAGGATTACCTGTAGAGCTTTTTGTATTAACAGCTGGGCCATGCCACCCTTATCTTTCCTGGGAGGGGCAGTGTAGATGAGGGGTTAAGAGCAAAAGCTCTAGAGTCAGAGTTAGAGTGACCATAGAATTTATCATTCCATCCAGTGTAACTTAAGGTCGCTGTTGGTCATTGTACCAGGACTCTGTCCCAGGCAAATTGGAATGTAATACGAAAATATTAACCAACCCTAGTTAGAATCTAAGCTCTCTCACTTACTAGCTATGTGGCCTTGAGCATGTTACCTACCTTTTCTGACCCCATTTATTCATCATGGTGTTGTAGTTAGGATTAAAAGATATAATGCACTTAGAGCATTTCCTGTATTGCCTAACACCTTGTAAACACGTAGTAAACAGTAGGTGCTGGTGGTGATTTTTTTGAAATTTGTGGTAGTATTTACTAATGTTGTCAGTATTAACATAGAGCTACCTAGAGTAATACAATCAGTTTTTTAAACATTGATTTGAGAGAGAGAGACATAATGATTTATTGTTGCACTTATTCATGCATGCATTGATTGGTTCCTGTATGTGCGCTGACTGGGGATTGAACCCTCAACCTTGGCATATTGGGACAATGCTCTAACCGACTGAGCTACTTAGCTAGTGCCTAATAGATGTTTTATAAGTAGCACAGGGCACAAGTGATTAACAGAGCTGTAAATAGCCTGTTTGCTCTAAATCGGCACTTAGAAGAGAGCTAAAAAGCTGTTTGTTCCACATTTGTACTGCTTCTCAGATACAAAATCAAGCTGCTTTTTTCCTAAATTACTTTTTATGAAAGTAATCGATATACAAAATTTAGGGCTTTTAGTGAGAAATAGTCCCATCTGTCTTCCATTTCTGAATCTTAATTCCTTACAATCACTTCTAACTCTCCTGGCATTTACCTCCATAGCTAAGTAAAGTATTATGTTTATGCTATTATATCTTGAATTTTTTTGAAACATTAGCTATTGACTTTGGAAGATGATTTACCTCATATTCACTCCCTAGAATGCACTCATGTTCTTCTTTCTTCAATTTCTCAAAATAGTTGTATCACAACTTTTGATTAAATTAGTTTAGTGTTTACATTATTTATTTTATTTTATTTTATTTTATTTTATTTTATTTTATTTTATTTTATTTACTTTATTATTTTTTATTTATTTTATTTTTATTTTTTAATTTATTATTCTATTACAGTTGTCCTGATTTTGCCCCCTTTTCCCTCTCTACCCAGCACCCTCCACTCCCTCAGACAATTCCCCCAACATTGTTTGTGTCCATGGGTCATGCGTGTAAGTTCTTTGGCTACTGCGTTTCCTATACTGTACTTAACATCCCCACGGTTATTTTGCAACTACCTATTTGTACTTCTTAATCCTCTCACCTCTTCACCCATTCTCCCCCTCCCTACTTGCATCTGGTAACTAACTTCTTTTGCTGCTTTTAAGATTCTCTTTATCTTTAACTTTTAGCCTTTTAGTTATGATGTGTCTTGGAGTGGGCATCTTTGTATCCATCTTCTTTGGGACTCTACTGTGATTCCTTGATTTGCATGTGTATTTCTTTCACCAAATTAGGGAAGTTTCCTTTCACTCTTTTTTCAGATAGATTTCCAATTTCTTGCTCTTTCTCTTCTGGTACCCCTGTGATGTGAATGTTGGACCTCTTAAAAGTTGTCCTAGAGGCTGCTTGTACTGTCTTCATTTTTTTTGGATTCTTTTTTCTTCTTGCTTTATAGAGCTGCTTTGGCTTCATGTCTTGGTAGTGTGTCCTAATGTAGTAGGTGTCCTGTAGGGTCCAATGGCACAGCCTCCCCTATTTCCCAAGCTGGGTACTCAAGGGGTGCCCTTTGTGTGGGCTGAGTATACCCTCCTCTTGTAGTGGCACCTTGATTGCTGTTGACAGATCAGTGGGAGGGATTTCCCCGGGCCAGTCAGCAGCAAAGATTGGCTGTGACCACTTAGCACCAACTTCTACCCTCCACGGAGGATCAGCTGTGCAGGGGCAGGGTGGTGATGCTCTGAAATGGTCTGTAGCTGTCCACTGGATACACTGGCCCTGGGGTTTCCTGTGGGTGGTGCAGGCCAAAGTCAGCCCCCACCTTTGTTTTTCTGGGGCACCCTGCCTGAGCTGCAAAGCAATCTGATGGCTGCTACTTGTGCTGGGCTTGGAGAGTCCCAAGTGAAGACAAGCTGTGACTCTAATTTGGCTGCCACTAGGGCTCAGTGAAGCTAGCTCTTGCTTGTTTGATAGGATTTAGGAGCCAAGACCAGACATTCTATGGAAAAGCAGCTTGGGCACCTGTTAAGTTGGGTGGGGCAGAGCCTCTGTGGATCTCCAAGGTGGGTCAAACAGTGTTAGGCAGATTCATGAAGTCTCAGATGTGGCACCAGCTTACCAGCTTTGTAGGGGGAGGGTTTAGAAAAGGGACAACGGCCTTTACTCACCTTAATGGGAGACAACTGTTTCTCCCTGTATACCACTGAAGCTGTGCCATTCAAGCTGCTACCTGGGTGCTGGAGCTCAGAGGGAGTGAGTTCTGAGTAGGTGAATCAGTGTGTGGGTTCTTTAAGAGTAACTGTCTGGGGCTTCCACAGTTTTTCCACTGACTCAATCCCTTCTGGTTTACCGCCAGAAGTTGTGGGAACTTAGGTTCCTGGCTTGGCATCATGGGATGGGGGATGTGATATGGGTCTGAGACTCCTTGTTCCCACGATATCCCTCCTGAATTTTTATTCACCACACATGGGTGTGGGACCAGCACATTCCCCATCTGTGCTCCTCCTACCAGTCTGGATGGATGAGGTTTCTTTAATTCTGTGGTTGTCAGACTTTTATTCAACTCGATTTCATAGTTGTCAGACTTCCATTCATCTCTATTTCTGGTGGTTCTGAGTGTTGGTGATTCTATATTTTAGTTGTAGTTTTGATGTGGGTGTGCGAAGAGGCCAGCCGTGTCTGCCTATGCCGCCACCTTGACTGAAAGTCTCATTATCTTTACACAAGTACTGCTCATAGCCCAAAATAGCTACATTTAATTTCTTACATACTTTCTATGATTCCTTGCAATAATTGCTTAATTTTTTTCTTTTGCTTGTTTTTCTATTACCTGTTGCTAGCTTAGCCTGAGTCTTTCCAACCATGTAAAAAGTGCTTCCCTTCCCCTCTTGCTGATACCCTCCCTGAGGCCCTTCTCTTTTGTCTCCATCAGGACTGGTTCTCTTGGTTTGCCGCACAGTAATGGTACTGGGACTTCTTTCATCTTCCTCCTGGGAATTCTTTCCCTCTTTTGTTGGGGCATATTTTTTAGGAGCATTTTGTTTTTCCTTTTTTGTAGTTTAGCCTTTATTGTGGTGGAGTACTTCTAGGAACTTCCTGAGAAAGGGTACATTGAGGTAAATTTTTGAGACTTGTGTATGGAATATTTCTTATCTCTCTTTACTCAAGTATTTAAAGTGTTATTTTTCTCCTTGCATTTCCTTTTTTTCTCTGAGTCCCTTTTTTCCCTGCCCGTTTGTTTAGGTGCCTATGTTTAGAAACTTTGCTGAAATATTTCAGGTTTCTTGGCCGTTGGTCCATATTTAAGAGTGAAATGCTGAAAAGTTATTTGGAAACTCAGTGTGGGAAGGGGATAGAAACTGGTAAGATTCGACCTGGAATGAATGGGTATCCTCATATATCAGTATCTATAGAAATATTCTCTTGGACTCATCAGCTTTTTCAGGGGCTAGTCCTCTAGTTTCCTACATGGGAGAAGTGCAAACTGTCCTGTGAGCCACAGGTAGGGGGAACTGGTGGGTGTGGAGAGTAGAGAAATCCTACTGTCTTGCATATCAATTTGTAGTGGATCCCCATTTTCATTGTAGCTTCTTACTCACTACCCCTCAGTTCTATCTTGTTTTCTAGCGCCCAGGATCTCAACTTTTCCAGAAAATAAACCACCTGTCTTCTCTTGAGGCTGGGGCAAGGCAGTCACCTGATGCACTGGGTTGGGAGAGGTTCTGGGAGTTAACTGCTCTCAATACATATTTTATCATTGCCTCATGTCCTGCCTTACCCTTGAGAGGTATATGGTACCTCCATTTCCTAAACCTTTCTGGAATTTGCAAGGTAGGGGCTTGCTTTTTGTGGCTTCCTCATCCTCACCTTATAGAGTTGTTTCATTTTTCTCTGTTCTTGGTTGCCACTGGTTCATTCACTTTTTAGCATCTGAAACTTCACTAACATTTATCTTGTTAGTTTCTTCTTCCTGTTTTTTCTTCTTCTATTCTTGTTGCTTTTTTTGGTATATACTTTTGTATTTCTCTTTTATTGTCATTGTAATAGAGTTTCTAGAGAGTAGAAATAAATTCATGTGTTCCTCCACATTTAATTGGTTAAATGTGAGGAGTGAGTGAGGCTTTCACTCTGCGTTGCCCTTTGAGGTTTCTGGCTTGAGTAACTTGGGAAGGAATGCAAGCAGGGCAGAGTCATCAGGATGGAGGTGGGAAGTGGGGATGGGGAAGAGATCACTTTTGGATGTAGTAATTTTGAAGTTCCAATGGGATGTACAAGTGGAGACTTCCAATACAAGTATAGTGCCCTCCCCCTTACCTGTGTTAAAAGGTCTGTAAATCTTAAATGGGAAATTCAAAAAAAAAAAAGAAGAAAATTCCAGAAGTAAACAATTTGTAAGTTTCAAATTGCATGCTGTTTTGTGTAGTATAATAAAGTCTTATTTTATCCCACTCTGTCCCATCAGGATATGAATCATCTTTTTTTTAAAGATTTTATTTATTTATTTTTAGAGAGAAGGGAAGGGAGGGAGAAAGAGAGGGAGAGAAACATCAATGTGTGGTTGCCTCTTGCACACCTCCTGCTGGGGACCTGGTGTGCAACTCAGGCACGTGCCCTGACTGGGAATTAAAGAGCGACCCTTAGGTTCTCAGGCCAGCACTCACTCCACTGAGCTACACCAGCCAGGGCTGAATCATCTTTTTGTCCAGAGTATCTATGCTGTAGATGCCATCTGCCCTCCAGTCACTTAGTAGCCATCTTGATTATCACATTGACTGTTAAGGTATCTGGGGGCTTATGTTCAAGTAACCATTGTAGTAGCCTAATGCCTTTGTCATTCACCTCACTTCATTTCACCACATAGGGATTATATCAGCTCACATCATCACAAGAAGAAGGGTGACTACAGCACAAGATATTTGAAGAGAGACCACATTCACATAACTTTTTTGTAGTATTGTCATAATTATTCTGTTATTAGTTATTGTTAATCTCTTACTGTGCCTAATTTATAAGTTAAACTTTATCATAAGTATGTATCAGGAAAAAATAGTATATGTAGGATTCAGTACTGTCTTGTTTCAAGTATCCACTGAGGGTCTTGGAAAATACCACTGTGAATCTAGACCTCAGTCTTGAGGTTTTGGTGAGATCTATAGATTTGTAAATTGCAATAGTGGTTGAAGCCATACATGTAAATGTGATTACTCTCAGAAAACATGTAGAAATAAGAAAAGTAAAAATTTGAGAAGAGAGATATAGGGAACACTTACAGTCAACGGAGTGAACACAGAAAAGAACAGCCAGAGAGATAAAAGGGAAGCTGAGAGAACAGGGTTAGAAAAGCCAAGAGAGGAGATTCAGGAAGATGCGTGGTCATCAGAGTTGACAGCAGCAGAGAACATGAGGAAGTTTAACGTCAGAAAGGAGTCTGGTTTTGACTGTTAGGATATTTGAGATGCATTTCCGATGAAAAAGGAGACAAGTGGTATGTTGCTGTGAGTTGGGATTGAATTAACTCAACAGTGAAATAATGAGTGTAGATGGCCCATGAAGCTTGGCTGTTAAAGAGGGACAGTGACAGTGAGGGGGGAGTGGGGAGGGCAATGGCTAAAGAACACAGGGCAAGAGAGGGGATTTTTTTCGTTTAAAGATGGGAGTGATTTGGAGCTATTATGAACTAATGGTAAAGAGCCAGCATAGAGTACACATTGGTTGGAGAGAGGCCCTGAGGAGATATAAGTTTGTTTTTATTTTATTTATTTTTCAATTTCAGTTGATGCACATTATTGATTAGTTTCAGGTGTACACCCTGGTGACTAGACATTACATAACTTCCTAAGTAGTCATCCTGATAAATTTCACATCCAACACCATACAGAGTTATTAGAGTATCATTGACTATATTCTCTATGCTGTACTTTACATCCCCAGGTCTATTCTGTAACAACCCATTTGTACTTCTTAATCCCTTCACCTTTTTTACCCATTCTCCTAACCTCTCACATCTGGCAGTAGTCCAAAGGTTCTCTGTATGTATGAGTCTGTTTCTGTTCTGCTTTTCACTTTGTTTTTTAGATTCAGTTGTTGATAGGTATGTATTTATTGCCATTTTGTTGTTCATATTTTTTATCTTTTTTTTCTTCTTAAAGAAGACCCTTTAGCATTTCATATAGTCCTGGCTTGGTGATGAACTCCTTTTAGCTTCTTCTTGTCTGGGGAACTCTTTATCTGTCCTTTGAATCTAAATGATAGCTGTGCTTGGTAAAGTAATCTTGGTTGTGAAAGAGATACAAGTTTTTTTATTATTGCAGTAAAACATGAAAAATAAGTAACAGGAATTTTGGAAAGAAAAAATTAGTAATATTTAGTAACATTACATATTTCAACTATAATAATCATAGAATTTAGAGGTTTGGTGATGTTGCCAGATACAAGCTGATTGCATTTCTATGTATCACCAGTAGTCAGTTAAACAATGCAGTGAAAAAATAGCTCTTGTGTCTTTTTTAACATCATTTTTTAAAAGATTTTATTTATTTACTTTTAGAGAGAGGGAAGGGGAGGGAGAGAAACATCAGTGTGCAGGAGTTACACGGGTCGGTTGTCTCTCATTCACCACCCACTGGGGACCTGGCCTGCAACCCAGGCATGTGGTCTGACGGGGAATCGAACTGGCAACCCTTTGTTTCATAGGGCTGCACTCAATCCACTGAACTACATCAACCAGAGTAAATTGGCAGAGTTTTAAAATGATATCCAAAACTGTTGAGTTTTCTTGATATAACCAAAGGAAGAAGGAATAAACATTGATTCACGTACTGGTTATATAGACTTGACATCTATTATTTTGTTGTATCCTTTCAGGAGCTCTAGGAATTAGGCTTTTACTTTTTTTTAGTTCATAAAATGGAGAGTCAAAATAACATTTGGCAAATGATGTAGCCTAGGGCCATCTGTCTCCAATGTCCAGGATTCTTTCAACTCTTCATAATATAGTTGTGGGCACTATTGAAGTTGGCAACTTTTTAGGAGAATAATTTGTCAGTATATATCAAGAGCTGTAACCATTCGTGTTCTTTTTTGGATTCAGTAATTCCTGTTCTAGGAGTCTATTTTAAGGTGGGAATGTTTCCCAAAATAGAAAAAGCCTATGTCCAAAGATGTTCCTTGTAGCATTATTTAGATGTGTGAAATATTGGAAGTATGTAAATGTCCATTAATATATTAATTAAATTGTTAAATATCCACTAGGTAGGATATATTTTATAGCTATTGAAATGTTAATTATAGTATAGCATGATTTGATATTAGATGAAAACAGGGGAATGTATAACTTTATATATAGCCCTGACCAGTAGCTGAGTTGACTAGAGCATTGTCCCGATGCATCAGGGTTGAAGGTTCAATCTCCATTCAGGGCACGTACAAGACTCAACCAATGAATAAATAAGTGGAACAGCAAATTGATATCTGTCTGTCTGTCTCTCTCCCCCTCCTCCCCTATCTCTCTCTATCTCTATCTCCCTTCCCCCTCTCTTTCTAAATTCAATTAAAAATTTTTTTTTAAAACTTAAAACTTTACACATAGAATAATTACAGCTACATTAATTAAACATGTAAGGGGGGAATACTAGAAGGTAATATGTAAAATGTTAACAGTGGCAGCGTTTCAATGTTGGAACTATGGGAGATTTCTGTTTTCCAAACTTTGTTCATAATAAAACAAAATAGGTGTGGAAAGATGGACTTGATGGCTTTCAGAATCCTCAGCCCACCCTGAGATTAGCCCGTGTTCCTAGGAGCATAGATTGTGTTGTGCGGAATCTGTTTGGAATCTAATGATTCCATATAGAGTAACATAGATTGTGTTGTGTGGAATCTAATGAACAAAATGAACTTACAAGCAAAATTGAAACAGACTCAGAGAGAGTAGGCTGACAGCTGTGGGGGAGGGACTAAGGGGGCAGTGGAGGGATTGAACAAAAAAGAAAAAAAGAGAAAGAACTCATGGACATAGACAAGTGTGGTGATTACTGGAGGGGGAGGCATTGCGGGAAATGGAGGAGGGTATGGGGGGATAAGTGGTGTTGAACAGACTTGAGTTGGGGTGAAGAACACAATACACAGTGAACAGATGATGTATTGTAGAATTGTGCACCTGAAACCTGTATAATTTTGTTAACCAGTGTCACCTCAATAAATTTTTAAAAAATGTGTGTGTAGATAGCCAAAGATGGTTGGGTCTCGGTAGCTCACAATGTCTTCTGAACTTTATCCTTTTGGGCTTGGCTTTGAGCAGTCAGGATCAGATCTTAAAAGCACCCACGTGGATTACTGTACATTTGTTTTCTCATAGGCACTGAAGTGGCAGCAGCACCAGGGGTTGCTTCCTCCTGGCATGACCATAGATTTGTTCCGAGGCAAAGCAGCTGTCAAAGATGTGGAAGAAGAAAAGTTTCCTACACAGCTGAGTAGGCATATTAAGGTAGGATCCTTAGACGCTCAGCCAGCTGGTAATCATTTGTTGAGGACTCAACGTGTTCTTGCTCAGCCGGGCCCCTGTGCTGGGAGTTTGGGTTAGGAAGCAGAACTCATTCTCCAGCTCTGACCACATTCAGTGTTGCCGTTGGTCACTACTGGGGTCCTGTGGCCTGGCAGTGGCACCCCTCAGTTGTATAACCTAGTGGACATACATTTGATATCTGGCCCATTGTCTGCCCTGCACTTCCTCCCAGGAAGCCTGTGTTTGGAAGAACCATTAGCTGTTTGGTTAAGCCTGGGACTAACTGAACTGTTAATATATTTGTCTTGGTTAGCATTTGTGTTTTTTGCCCGCTGTGTGTCAGGCAAATTATCAGGCATGGACTGTAAAGTGGGCTTGTGTGCAGTTTGAGGAAAATAATTTTATCATACTATGTCTGGGTCTTGGTTTTTTTGGCAGGGGGTGGTGGTGTTGGTTTTCACTTTTTTGTTTATTATTATTTTTTTATTAATCTCAGACCTTTCTATGAAAAAGCACAATCAAGTAATTGCTGCACTTTCCAGAATTACAAATATATGTGCTACTTCAGCATCTTTTTTTTTTTAGACAGGAGGGAAGGGAGGAAGAAAGAGAGGGAGGGAAACATTGATCAGTTGTCTCTCACACACCCCCAGCGGGGATCTGGCCTGCAACCCAAGCATGTGCCCCGAGGCTTTTTGGTTTGCAAGCTGACGCCCAGCCCACTGAGCCACACCAGTTGGGGCAGCATGTTTTTATATTATAGTTTCTCTCTGGGTTTCTGTTCTCATTGAATTTATGGATTTTAACATAATTCATATCCTTAAAATTTGACTTTGGCTTACTTAGCACATTAAATTTGTCTCTTCTGGGTTATGTATTTTGACTTGCATTCAAAGATATTTTTGAGCAGTACTTTTACCCCGGCTGAAGCCTTGAGACAAATAGAGATCCACTGCAATTATGCTTCTGGGCTAAGATTTTTATTACACTTTCCTTTTTGGGCATCTAAATGGAAATTTGTAACAGAGCATTTCTCTGTACTCATCTGTCTAATGTTCTGTAGTTTTCATGTTATTGGGAGCATGACTGCTGGTAAATGATCAGGATGCATTTCACAGGTAAACAGTCCATGTCAGCTTTCATTAGTTTTCCTGGAATTGGTCACCTACACATTAACAATTAAGAGAAGATCATGAAAAGAAACAGTGATAGAACATTTGTTTACAAAATAGTGTGTGAAAACAGGTATCTGTTTTGAAAAAATGACTTTTCCCCTTAAAGCACAATAGTAACATATAATACCATAGTAAGTTGAGTGTGAAAATCATGCTAATAATGTCTGATTCTGATAAAAGCTTCTTGCTTGGGTTAACAGGATTGTTTCTTCTAAGTCCCATGCTAAAATAGTTTTTTTTTGTGGGGAGGGGGCACTTTTCTTTGGAGATGTCAACTTTACATTTAAAAAAAAAAACAAACTAGTTTCAGCTGAGAGCCCAGACATACAACTGGTCAGAGAAAATATATCCACAGTCTTTCTGTGTCTGGGTACAGAAATGTCCAGTACTTCAATAATAAGCTAGCTATGACTTTATGCTAGGGCAGGGTTTCTCAAAAGGTTAAAATGAGAATTGTTATAAGGCCATTAGATAAAGATGTGTCTGTTTCATTGTTCTGTTTGAAACAGTTTGGTCAGAAATCACATGTGGAGTGTGCTCGATTTTCTCCAGATGGTCAGTATCTGGTCACTGGGTCTGTTGACGGATTCATTGAAGTATGGAACTTTACAACTGGAAAAATCAGGAAGGTAAAGTATTTAAAATGTATTAATTTTTCTAGTGAAACAATGACCTATTATTGCTTTTTAAATTATCTGTTATTTTTACAGTTTAAATTTATTTTTTTGAATGGGTGATATGTACATCTGATACAGTGTTTTATAAAATAGGAAACTTGTTCAGTATAAAGAGTCTTGCTCACCCACCCATGTTCCTCAGCTGGTAATTTCCTTTCCTTGGTCCAGCCAGGGTTACTTGTTTTTTTGTGTAACCTTTCTGGAATTCTCCAGGTATATTTAAGCAATTTTTATTCCCAATCTAACCTAATTGTAGTTCTATTTGTGTTTCTGTTATTATGAATGAGAGAATATCTTTTTATATGTGATAAGCCACCAATATTTCCTATTCTGTGAAATCTCTTCATATCATTTGCCTGTTTTGCTTTTGGATTATGTCTTATTGATTTGTTGGAGCTCTTTAAAGTTTGAGGAAATCAGCCTTTGTAATACTTTTCAATTTTGACTTCTGTCTTTTGATTTTGCTTAAGTTTTTCTTTATATACCTAAACTTTTTTGTGTCATATTTATCCATCTTTTCTTCCACAGTGTCTTCTAGTCTTTTAATGTATCATTTTATGTTCAAATTTTGATCCATCTGGATTTTTTTTAGGGAGATAAAGTTGGTGTAGATTGAATTTAATCTTTTTTCCCAGGTAGCTATTTATTGACAATTCACTAATTGTAATCTTCATCACAGAGTACCAAATTATACTTGAGTAGTGAATTTATGAGTGATTTTTACTTTCTTTTATATATATATATATATCTTTATAGTTTGTCTTTTTTAAAACCGTGAAGCAGCCTCAGTTTATAATTAGAAAAATATAGGGATACTTTCTTTGAACAGTAGTAGTTGATAAAATAGGAGTCACAAGTAAACAGATTAGTCAATAACTTGGTTTAAGGAAAAGTAGCTGAGAATTGGGGGAAAAAAACACTAGGTTTTCACATCATACCCCTAAGGTAAATAAGTTTGGATTTATTAAAGATGTACAGTATGAAACTGGATGCAATTTTTGCTTAGAAAAGATTAGTCAGCAAAAGATACAGGCTTTTATGTTGGCATGTTTCACAATGTTAGTTTGAATTGTGTAAAAGTATTTATTCCCAGCATTGTCAGTTGTTATTAGCAACACGTGTGCTTGCCACTACTCTTTGCTTCAGAGATTTAGTGTAGGTATGAGCCATTATCCTGCTTTCGGTGAGTTTGTAGAGATCTGGCGTAACTGGGTTTTGTGTTATTTTGATAACTGCTTATCATTGTTTCCTTTAGGATCTTAAGTACCAGGCTCAGGATAACTTTATGATGATGGATGATGCTGTCCTCTGCATGTGCTTCAGCAGAGATACAGAAATGTTAGCAACTGGGGCCCAAGATGGAAAAATCAAGGTATAGATTATGGCACAAACTCTTGTATGGGGACCTTTTGAGAGTTCTGTAATGAGGCAGTTAGGGTCCTACATGTGATATGCAGCTCAGTAACAGCTCCTGTTTATTGAGCATCAACTTTGTGCTAATCACTTTATTGTTTTTCATTTAATTCAAATAATAACTCTGCTGAGGGAGGTCCAATAATTTCTTTAAGGTCACACAGTTAGTAAATGATAGACCTGGGACTTCAGTCCAGATCTGCTCTTGCCCTTTCTGCTGGATGCCCCCACCCTTCCTCACCTTATATGTGTTGTACTTTACTTTTTAGCGAGTGAGATGGACTGCAGCTCATTAGCTGTGGCTTGTACTTAATTGCTGGTAAAATGTCCTGAGCTAGATATAATACAGAAATGGTCTCTGCAAAGTGAACTCAAAGTCTAAATTTTTGTTTTAATAATTTACAAGGAAAGAGGTTTAGCTTTTAAGGATTCAGTTATCATTGTTCTATGTGAACCAGACACATCATATTCAGCTATTAGCATGCATTTTTAATGCTGTTTTCATACAGTAGTGAGCACTGCATGTGGCTGGCTTTGTGGACTACAGTGGGACACTATTTACAAGTTTTTACTATGTTTTTTTAATAAAGGTATGGAAAATTCAGAGTGGACAGTGTTTGAGGAGATTTGAAAGGGCACACAGTAAAGGTGTCACCTGTCTGAGCTTTTCTAAGGATAGCAGTCAGATCCTTAGTGCCTCTTTTGACCAGACAATTAGGTAAGTAAGAATGCCTAAATTGCCGTTTCTTGGGTTTGATATGATGCAGTACCTCCCTTCAGAGGTACTTGTGATTCCTTATGCTTTTACCGGGATGGTATTACATGGAGATTGAGAGTCCGTGAGATCTCATTTCCCCAGTCAGGGTACAGCTGACATAGTGCTGTTATTTTGTCCATTGGAGTCTTTACCCACCTGCATCTGCATCATGTTAGAGGGCATATCACAGATAGAGATTCCTGGGACCCAGCGAAGAAGACATAGAAGTCAGTCCATGAACAGAAACCTGTGTTATTATTGGCATATTTTCTTCCAGTCTCTCTGCCAACCTTTACCTTAGTTTTGTTTGATTTTTGACACAATGAAAATTATACTGCATATGTAAATATGTAGACCTATTATAACAAGAGCTTCTATAATTCGTCTAAAATGCATTTAATACTTGGTCTCAACTACAACATACTGAATATTAACAGTTCTTTTTATTTCCTTTTATGCGTGATAGAATTCATGGTTTAAAATCGGGGAAAACCCTGAAGGAATTTCGTGGCCATTCTTCCTTTGTTAACGAAGCAACATTTACACAGGATGGGCATTATATTATCAGTGCATCCTCTGATGGCACTGTAAAGGTTAAGTATTTGGGGTTTCTATTCCATTTTTGCTCTCTGAAGAGGTTTCAGTGGTGGTAATGGTGATAATTCTAGTGAAGTAAACCTCTTTACTATCTATATTTATAATTGAGGTGAGTCTGAGACAATAGTAATATTCTATTGGTAATTCCTATTGGCCTAGGAACCTCAAATCTCAGACCTACAAAATCAAAACAGACTTTAGCATGTGTAGGGAAAGGGGAAAGGTATGGGGTCCTAAATTTAAGTCATACCCCTCTTACAGGGTTAAATTTGATTTTGCCATAGCTATGGTCCACTTGCAACCAATTCACAAAGGACTTGGTGACCAAATAAATGGATCTCTTTTTTTTTTTTTCATAGCCTCATCCCACCCCTAGCCCCCACATTTATGGCCTTCCTAATAGCATTTATAGAGGAACAGAAGATGTATAGAATAGAGCCAAACCCTTTCTCAGATACCGCTTTCAGCTGTCCGCTGAAAGTAATGGCTCTTTAGTACCTTAAGAGATTTATTTTAAGAGAAGGCCTCATTTTCTTGAAAAGGTGAGGAATCCAAATAGTAAATTGCTGAAGATCTTTGAGACATTCCATATACATTCTGGACTTGCTTTTAAATTGCCTTAATTGAGTGCTTTTTAGCGAAAGACCTCAACATTTTAATACAAACACCTGAAAGTCAGACCATGCCCTGAGTTTTGTTCCCGCTTGGGAATCGAATCAGAAACCTGAGGGTAGAAGATACACACTTCCTCAGGATGCATGGGGAAACACACAGAGCTCTTGGTACTTGAGTCATGGGATTGCCCTCTTTGTGCTATGTGTGGGGCACCACCACATGTAAAATGCCATTGGGCATTTTTATCTATTTTTAGAGAAAAGAGAAGGGAGGGAGAGAGGGAGACAAACATAAATGCACGAGAGATACGTTGATCTGTTGCCTTTTGCACACCCCCAAACTGGGACCTGGCCTGCAACCCAGACATGTGCCTTGATCAGGAATCAAACCAATGACCTTTTGGTTCATAGGCCAGCACTCAGTCCACTGAGCCACACCAGCCAGGGTGCAACTGGGGTATTAGAAAGACTGGGAAAGATGATTACAGTGTTTATTAGGAAAATAAACACTGGGGCAACTAGTGGGCAACTTTCCTCCTGTTTAGGGGTATTCAACATCTGTTTTGTGCTAAACTGTTGACGACACAGAGAAAATACAACAAATTCTGTACTTTTGAGGCATTTACACCTCATTAAGGGGGTGGTGTCCAGGCAAGGCTGTGCAATTAATATTTGGTCCATCCCTCGTCTTAGCACATCTCAGATGTCAATAACTATGATGTCCGATGTAACCCTTCAGTTCATACCAGTCCAGGGGACATGGTGAAAAGCATTAGGGTGGAGAGCTATTACCAGAAGAGATGTTGGACGGGGAGAGGTAATACAGGTGGCCAAGAGTGGCTTCCACTTCATGGACCCTCATGTGTGTCAACATTTTGACTTATGCTAAGGGGTTCAAGCTGTATGTTAGAATCATTTGTGGAGTTTTTAAAATGCACGTGCCTGTGCTCCACCAAATCAGAATCTCAGGATAGGGTCCTGAGCATGCAGTTCTAAACAGCTGCCATTTGAGTTTGTTGTCCAGATGAGGGTAGTTTTGTGGTTGTTGATGACAGTGGCGGTATTGACATACAGCTAATTTTATTTATTTATTTATTTTGAGAGTACATTTATTAAAGCTGGGAACAGTGGAACAAGGAAGGGCTTAGAATGGACAAAAGGAACCAGAGAGCACCTAGGTGGAGCTGCTTTGGCTCTCTGGAAATGTTATAGGAAAGAAATGAGCCACGGCAGGGCTGCTTTGGCTCACTGAGAAGTAAGTGACAGTGACAGAAGTGAGCCAAGGTGGGGCTGCTATTATTGGCTTACTGGAAAGTCAGAAAAAAGGGGGCCTTGGATACAGATTTGGGGGCTTAGCGCGGGACAAGCTGCTGCTTCCTTTGCTCCCCTGTTTGCAAGTCTTGTGAGGACCCTTAGAGTATAGGAGCTGCATGCACACCTAAGAGGAAAGAAAGGCGTGGGTGTGTTCTTGAGAGGGAGGGCATTGGCACAGCTAATTTGAAAGCTGGGTAGCTCATTAGAAAAATTTTATGAGAAAAGATCATAGGTTTTTAAAGGTTTTTATTTAGTTTCGTGACTTTTATTTATACTAATTAGCAAATAGATTAGTGCTTACTATAAATATGGCAGTGTAGGTATTTGTTGACTGAAAAATCAAGAAGTTCTTTTTTTTTAAAGGTATTTTAAAAAAGATTTTATTTATTTTTAGAGGGGGGGGAGAGAGGAGGGGGGAGAGAGAGAGAGAGAGAGAAACATCAGAAACATCAGAAACATCAGTGTATAGTTTCTGGGGGTCATGGCCTGCAACCCAGGCATGTACCCTGATTGGGAATCGAACCTGTGACACTTTGGTTCGCAGCCCAAGCTCAATCCACTGAGCTACGCCAGCCAGGAAGAAGTTCTTTTTTTCCTGAGTCAATTTTATTCTTTTTTAGTAATTAATTTTCATTGTTTTAAATCCCAAAACTGTAGAGGTTTGTATGGTTTGAATTTGCTTATGCTTTAAATTTTTGTGTCGTAGATCTGGAATATGAAAACCACAGAATGTTCAAATACTTTCAAATCTCTGGGCAGCACTGCAGGGACAGATATCACTGTCAACAGCGTGATCCTGCTCCCCAAAAACCCGGAGCACTTCGTGGTGTGCAACAGGTCGAACACGGTGGTCATCATGAACATGCAGGGTCAGGTGAGTGCCCCAGGGGAGCGCCTACACCTAGAGCCTGTGGTCCCGGCCCTCTCAGCCACCACCCCCAAACCAGATACACTGTATTTGTTATTCAAGTGCTTATTTAAACTATACTCTGGTTTTTCAAAAGTTATCTCTTTTCCCCAGGGTTTTTGTATATTTTTCTCTTTCTTTTGTACCCTTTGGATACCTGAGGCTCTTATCTGTCTTTAAGCCTTTGCTGAGTTTCATGGAAAATTTGAAGATAACAATTCCTGTCTGAGTGAGGGAGATAGTGTCAGTCACCAACTTGTGACATCTAGCTACCACGTGATCTAAGGAACTCTTAAAGGAGAAGGGCAACGATGTCTTCACACGGTTCCTAAGGAATCTCACTTTTATAGCATCAGGAACATTAGAAACTCAAGGTTGAGGTCTCAAGCCCTGAGAATATGTCGTGTGATATTGAAATATTGGCCTGGGCATGTGGGGATTCTGCTGAGCACGGAGAAGACCTGGGGGGAGGTGTATGGAGCTGTGTATTCCTTTAGTCCCTATAACTGATACAGATGAGTAGTTCACAGCCCCCGTGGCTGGTCTGCAGCATCTGCTGGGCCCCTGCACAGTAGCCATAGCTGCCCACTTCCTAGCTTTCTTTTTGACTTTTTAAAGATATTTTTATTTAAAAATTGTGTTTAGGTTCATAAAGATGTTGCAGAAAACAGTAGAGTGTTCTTGTGTACCCTTTCTCCAATGATAACATATTACATAACCATAGTACAATGATCAAAACCTGGAAGTTCATATTAGTACAATTCTGTTAACTCAAATACAATCTCATTTGGATTTCACCAGTTTTTACATTCATTCATTTTGAGGCAGGAAGTTAATAATTCTATGAAATTTCATTACATGTAGATTTATGTAAACATAACCATAATTAGGATACAATACTGTTTAATCACCTCCAAAGAATCTCCCTCATAATACGTGTTTATATTCAAACCCTCCCCATCAAGCCTAACCTCTGATCTGTTTTCCATTATTATAATTTTATCATTTTGGGACTGGTGGATAAATGGAATCCTGTGGTATATAACCTTTTATAACGTTTGCGCTTTGTTTTCTCTCAGTTTGATTTGTGATGATTTTAAATGGTATGTAAAATAGAGCAAGTGAGGTCCTGGACACAGTGCCAGCCTACATGGGAGAGCGTCTCGTTCTGTTGGAAAGTGGGAACTGGGGGGCATGGTCCATGGAACATTGAGAACTAGTGGTATACTGACTTAGAAGCTGTTGTATGTGTGGTAATGACTTTGCTTTAGGGTAAAAGGACTCATTAGACTAAAGAGTGAGATTGGTGACTTGGGACATAGGAAGTTTAAGCTTCTGTCTGCCACTGACTTTAGCTACTGACTACTGCCACTGACTATTGAATATTTCTCAGGATTTAGCATATGATGAATGGAATTGATGATCTAATTAAAAATGTCAGTAAATGAAAGTACAAAGTAACAATGTAAAGGTAGCCATTTAAACTGCTGCGTTAGAACTGCTAATCCAGATGTTTTGTTTTGGTTTGCAATATGCTGTAGATTGTCAGAAGCTTCAGCTCTGGTAAGAGAGAAGGTGGTGACTTTGTCTGCTGCGCCCTCTCCCCCCGTGGTGAATGGATCTACTGTGTGGGTGAGGACTTTGTGCTCTACTGTTTCAGCACAGTCACTGGCAAACTGGAGAGAACTTTGACAGTGAGTATTACTGACTTCAGGCCATTTAAAGAAATTGATGCTTGTGTTTTTCTGAACTCTGAAATAAACCTTTTCCTTACTGCTACCAGAGTGAACCTTGGTATGAAAAATACAAAAAAATTTATCAATAAAATTAAGGACCCATAAGCAATATTTGTATGTAATTACCTCCTCTGTTAAGAAAAGTCACCCTTCATTGAGCCCTCGGCTACAAATGGGTAGGGTGGGTGTACATAAAGCAGAGAAGAAGAAAGGGAATATGCCTGTCTAGCCAGCTAGGTTATCTGTATCTTCCTCAGGGGGTTGGGAGAATAACAGAGCTCATTCCATGCATGCCCTTTCAGAAGCACATTACTTTTACATTATCCTATCAAATGATTTGATTATGATGTTTTCAAGCAGCTTGATTTTGTAAGAGTGAGTACAAGGAGTAATTAATGCCAGCTGTTGTAATAACCAGTCCCCAAATTTCAGTGGCTTAACTGAATGAGTTGGATAGCCTTTCTCCTTTATTAAAAATAAATAAAAGATTTTATTCATTTTTAGAGAGGGGAAGGGAGGGAGAAAGAGGGAGAAAAACATCAATGTGTGGTATCCTGTCATGTGTCCCCCTTTGGGGACCTAGCCCGCAACTCAGGCATGTGCCCTGACTGGGAATCAAACCGGCAACCCTTTGATTTGAAACCAGCGCTCAATCCACTGAGCTACACCAGCCAGGCCTTCTCCATCTTTTTAGCTGTGCCATTTGAAATATATGTCCTTTAAGATCTCAGAAAGAAAGAGGTACCTGGAGGGCTATATTGGATGTTTTTAAGACCCACATCTGGGAGTGGCTTCTACTACTTTATTCCTCATTTGTTTTTGGTTAGAATTCAGTCATATGGCCACACCCAGATGCAAGGGGGACAGGGAAAATGTAAACTCCGTGGTCCAGGAAGAAATGCTATGGTGAACATATAGAAAATTACGTACATACTCAAGTTAGAGAATAACCTCTTGTCTCGTTATCATTCTTGAGTGAACTTTTGGTGCACCTGCCCTGGGAAGTCTCCAGTGCTGAACTAACATGTGAGTAAAGCAAGGTGAGGTGGAAGGTGCCTCTAGCCGAGGGCCCTGGACAGTCCAAGTTCACTGAGTAGAAGCCACTGTCTCGGGGCAAAGTGTTCACACACTGTGAAAAACACTGAGTTTTGGATTTGTGTGTGTGTGTAGCCCTTTCTGAGGCTGGCTTAGGCTTGATTCCTTTGGTGAAAAGTGGAAGGTTCACTCTTATTCTGTCCCACTCAGCTCTGGAAGCCTCTTCAGAGTGATTTTCTTATAGACCCGTGTACCCTAACCCTGTGCTTTACTTTTCCCAGGTTCACGAGAAGGATGTGATTGGTATTGCACATCATCCTCATCAGAACCTGATTGCAACCTACAGTGAAGACGGACTCCTCAAACTCTGGAAACCCTAATTTGACTTTTTTTTTTTAATTAGCTTGAGAGCATGTACTTAAATGAAGACACATTCATGTGTTGCTTTTTTCGGGAAGGGGGCTTTTCTGAGTTACTTGTCTGAATTAGGCACAAGAATAATTTTGTGAAAATTCATGTTTAAGTAACAGTTACCCTTTTTAATATATTTTTAAGGTATTCATTTGTTTCTGATTGAGGTAGTCACTTAATGTTTTCAATAATCTTTGACCTGGAAAGTAGAATAACTGCTATTTCTAGAAAAAAGTAATCCTTTGATTATTGAAATGTGCCTCCTTGCAGTAAACTTGTAAATAAGGGACTATTCTGTATTCAATAGCTGTTCCTTTTTTTTTTCAGATTGTAATAAACTTTACAACTTTCTGGGGGCCTTGTTTTTAAATGTAAATAATGCTCATCTAGTTAGTGTTTACTTAGAATCTAGTGAGGTGGGTGGGATGTGGACACTATTAAGCCTGAATCTTAAATACAGCAGGGAGTCAGCTCCTGGGTGGAAGAGGAGACTGTACATGAAAAGTTGTGGTGTTGCATAGGGTCTCTCTTCACTGCCCTAACCCTTCCACTCGTTTTTATTGGCTGTGCCTTCTCCCATGTTCTGGCCAACTCCAGGGAATAGCATCTCAACCTTAGTGGTGGAACCAGTTGCGGGATCCATTATAAGAATTTTCGTTTTGGCACCTCCTCTTCATTGAAGGAGGGTTTGGCATTACAAATGTGCTATTGTTCTGAAGAAAGAAAAGGACCTGAGATTTAGAAAAGTCTTTTGTCATGTGTGTCATTACCAGTTAGCTAAAGAAAATTAAAATCCAACAGACCCTTGAAAATATTTGGCATATGGGTGTCTCTTGTTTCAGTTGAAGGTGCTGCAAGACGGAGCATCTGTGTTGTGCTGGATATCATTTGCAGAAAGTGAGACATTATTAGTTTGTGTAGTTCTTTTATGCCCCTCTAATTTTAGATACAAACTAGTGGGGAGAGTTTTTAAAAACCTTTACAGTCTTATAATTTACCTTTGATTGTAATTTTAAATACAGCCTGATCCTGTGCCTGGCAAATGGTAATGTTCCATATTGGTTGAATAAATTCTTAACGGTGTTAAGAAATCCTTCTCTCCCAGCCATATTACCCAAACTAAAAATTTTTCCTGGGACTGCTGGTCAGCATAGGCAGACATGGCTCACCTCTTCTTGCGATCACATCAAAATTACAACTAAAATACAGAACCGTAACTCAGAATCATCAGAAATTGAGCTGAATGAAAGTCTGACAACTACAGAATCAAAGAAACCACATTCACCCAGACTGGTAGGAGGAGCACAGATGTGGAACGGACTGGTCCCTCATCCATGTGTGTTGGATAAAATTTGGGAAGGATATCTCAGGAGTGAGGAGTCCCAGCCCTGGGTGCAGGAGCCAGGAAGGTAAGCCCCCACAACTTCTGGCTGCAAAAACCAGTAGGGATTGAGTTGGTAGAAGAAACTGCAGGATCCCCAAACAGTTCCTCTTGAACCCACACACTGATTCACCTACTCAGACTCACTCCCTCTGAGCTTCAGCACCTGGGTAGTGCCTTGAAAGGTACCAATAGCATAGAGGGAGAAACTGAAGTGTCTTGGCATCAAGGCAAACAGAGGCCATTGTCCCTTTTCTGAACTCTTCCCCTACAGAACCATCAAGCAGGTACCACATCACACCCTATCAACCTGGCTAACAATGACTTGCTTTGGAGATCCCAGAGATGCTGCCCCACCCAATTTACCAACCCACCCAAGCTGCTTTTCCATATGAATAGCTGGTCTTGGCTCATACTTCACAACTACCTAAATCCTCTTGAACAAGCAGCTGCCAGCCTAGATTCATAGCTTGGCTTTACCAGGGTGGCCCCAGACAAAACACAGGTGGGGGCTGACCTTGGCCTGCACTGCCCAGGAAACCCCAGGGACAGTGAACCCAGTGGACAGCTACAGACTATGTTGGAGCATCAGCACCTTGCCTCTGCACAGCTGATCCTCCATGGAGGGTGGAAGTTGGTGTTTAGTGGTCACAGCCAATCCTTCCAGCTGACTGGCCTGGGGAAATCCCATTAATCTTCCATCAGCAAAGGAGGCTCAACTACAAGAGGTGGGTGTACTCAGACTACATGAAGGGGACACCTCAAGTACCCAGATTAGGTGATAGGGGAGGCTGTGCCACTTGACACTACAGGACACCTACTACATTAGGCCACACTACCAAGACATGGAGCCAAAGCAGATCTGCCTAATACATAGAAATAAACACAGGGAGGCTGCCAAATTGAGGAGACAAAAGAAGCATGGCCCAAATGAAAGAACAGATCAAAACTCCAGAAAAAGAGCTAAATAAAATAGAGATAAGCAATCTATCAGATGCAGAGTTCAAATCACTGGTTATAAGGATGCTCAAGGAACTCAGTGAGGACCTCAGCAGCATAAAAAAGATCCAATCAAAACTGAAGGGTACACTAATTGAAATAATGTGCACTTTACAGGGAAACATGCAGATGGAGCCAAGAACCAAATCTACAATTTGGAACATAAGGAAGCAAGCAAGAAAGAAAGAAAAACCCACACAAAACAAACCATACACACAATCAAAACAAGAAAAAAAAGAATAAAAAAAAAAGGATAGTATAAGCAGCCTGTGAGATAACTTGAAGAAGTCCAACATTAGCACCATAGTGGTGCCAGAAGAAGAGGAAGAGTGAGAAATTGGAAATCTATTTGAAAAAATAGTGAAAGAAAACTTCCCTAATTTGGTGAAATAGACATGCCAGTCCAGGAAGCACAGAGTCCCGATTATGATGGATGCAAAGAGGTTCAGTCCAAGACACATCATAATTAACATGCCAAAGGTTAAAGATAAAGAGAATCTTAAAAGCAGCACGAGAAAAGCAGTCACCTACAGCGAAATTCCCATACGACTATCAGCTGATTTTACATGCAACTTTTCAGGCTAAGAGGGATTGGCAGAAACTTTTAAAGTCATGAAAATCAGGGATCTACAGCCAAGATTGCTCTACTCAGCAAAGATATCATTTAGAATCGAAGGGCAGATAAAGAGCTCCCCAGACAAAAAAAAACTAAAGGAGTTCATCGTCACCAAATTATTATATGAAATGTTATATGAAATGTTAAAGGGACTTATTTAAGAAAAAGATGACCAAAACTATGAGCAAGCCCTGGCTGGTATGGGATTGAGTGCAGGACTGCTAATTGAAGGGTAGCCAGTCTGATTCTCTGTTGGGACACATGCCTGGGTTGTGGGCTGGGTCCCCAGTTGGGGGCTTGTGAGGCAACTGATTGATGTATGCCTCACACACTGATGTTTCCCTGCCTTTCTCCTTCCCCTTCTCCCTAAAAGTGAATAGTTGGGGTAACAATAGCTGTTACCTGGTAACTTATCTGAAAAAGCAGTCTCAGGCCCTACTCTAGACCTACAGAAGCAGAAACTGGCAGTGGCACTCAGCAAGTACACACGAATTTGAGAACCAGTTGACTAGAGGACAGTTTCCTCACCTATAGAGTACAGCTATTCCTTGGTATCTGCAGTGGATTGGGTCCCAGACCCCCAGGAGACACCAAAAGTGGAAAGATGCTCAAGACCCTTATATAAAAATGACATTTACATACAGGTTACAGCAGGATACACCTATACATCATTCTTTTGGCAAATTCAAGTTTTGCTTTTTGGAACTTTCTGGGATGTTTTCCCCCAAATATTTTTCAATCCATAATTTGTTGATTCTGTGGTTACAGAACCTGGGATATAGAGGGCTGACTGTATATTTTGATTCTTCTGTCAGTCTCAGGAAGTTGTGAAATGATAAAAGGTTGAAGATTTCAGAAACCCTCAAGTGTATTTGTAGCTTACAAGCATTTTCTTTCCCTGTACTTTTAGAGCCTATACTTCCTTTTCCTGTTATTTCAAAAGAAAAATTGTGGTGTTTAAGCTGGGATGCTCCCTTGGTCTCAGCCTCAGTATCTCATTTGCAGTGGCAAGGGCCGCCATTATTTGAACTTCCACATTAATTCTATGTGGCATTTCTGTCCTAGATGGGGTAACCCAAACTTGGCTGTACCCAACCATCCAGATTTTAAAACTTCCCAGATAATTCAATTTGCAGCCAAGGTTGAAAACCAGCACTGTATGCAGAAAAAGATCTGATGTTAACTTTACATACTGGAAGGTTGGCCACCATGTTACACAGTACCCTTGTGGGATAATTGGCCTTTATTCTTACTCTCTGCAAGTGTGAATGGGTGAAGGTAAGCATCACAGAGAAAGCAGTAGTGCTGAGGTCAGGAAATGCACTTGTTATTTCTGTGATAACCTTGGTCAATGTTCTGAGGCATTTTTTTTAAAACTACAAACTTGTCAAGTTTCTGCCTCTCCAGACTATAACTATTTTCTTCTACTGATTTCTATTTTCTTCTAAAGGTTTTATTGTGGTAAGGTACGGAAAATTTACTTTGAACCATTTTTAAGTGTAGAATTCAGTAGTAGTATACAACCATCACTATTTCCAAGACTTTTATTATCCCAGACAGAAAAATTATGTACCAATTCTCCATTTATGTCCCCGCCCTGCCACCCCAGTCTGTGGCCTTTATGTAGCTGGAAGCATAATATATAGTATTGGTCCTTTTGCATGTCATATATAGGGTGGGTGAGTAGGTTGTTTTTGTATGATACAGTAATTAATACGAGAACTGTTTCAGGTCCTCACAATTGTAAACCTACGTTTGCCAATCCCCATATAACGTGTCAGGTTTTGTTTACCATCTTTTAGACCCACAGTTGGTTTGCCTTTGGCTACTGTGAACAATGCTACAATAAATACTGGCATACCAAGTTACCTGAATTTTAAGTATACAGGCTGGGTCATATGGTGATTCCATGCCTGGCTTTTGAGGAGCTGCCCAACTTTTCCACAGCAGGTGTACGTACCATTTTACATTCCCACCAGCCATGTAGAGGGTTCCAACTTCTTCATTCTCATTTGCTTTCAGTTTGAATTAGATTTTGGACTATTTGATGGGAAGTAGTAGCTCACTGTGGTTTTGATTTGCATTTCCCTCATGATTGATACTTTTCACTCTCCACACATTTAACTGAAAATATTTTGACTACAGTGAATGGTATTTTATGAGTAATGGAATTACTCATTTTAACTAGTTAAATGAAAAGTTACCTATCTTAATTAGTGAAAAGCTAATGCTTTCTTCTGGGGAAAAAAAAGCCTGTAGTGACACACTGAAAATGCTTTGTAATCAGTATATTAAGGAGACATTCATACATTTCAAGAATTGCTTAAATTCTGATATCCAGACTTAAGCTTGTGA